TCCTTGCGCACCTGCTTCCACTCGGTCTCGAGCTCGTCCTGCGCTTCTTTTTTTCTTGCAGCCATCTTGCCTACTCGATTCTACAGGGAGTGAAGACGATCGAGAGCGATCTACCTCGCGACATCGAGCTTGCGCTGGTCGGCTTCGAGAGCTTCGCGTCGCTTTTGGAGCTTGAGCGTCTCTTGTTTGTAGTGCTTGACCTCGTTTTCGAGCTCGTGGAGCTACGCAGTGTACAGATATTGTATGTACAAGATCTGGTATAGCACCTTGTCATCAATGACGGACGGAATGATCGATTTCGATGTCGGTGTGCGGGGCGGCGTTGGCTCTGCCTTCTTCTTTGGCGCCGCCATGGCCTTCGCTGGCTTTGGTTTGGGCACCACGGTGGCCTTTTGCTGCAGCTTGAGCTTGAGCGTCTGCAGCGACGACGATGGAGGCGCTGGCTTGCTCGCGACAGCGGGCGGAGGCTTTTGAAAGAGTTGCTGGACGAGGGACGGCGCGGGCGGCGATGCCGGTGGGGCAGGAGCGTCCTCCTGCGTGTGATTGACATCAATAATATCGCCAGGACGAGAGATGTCGACGTCCCACGGCTCCGAGTCGGCGACGCTGAGCTCGCTCATGTCGAGGCTGCCATAGTGCAAGGCCTGGTCGTTCTCGTCGGGCGCAGGCAGGTGGACAGAGGAAAAATGGAGTTCTGGCTCGTCGCTCTTGAGGATGCCTTTGCGCCACTCGTCAAACAGCAGCGACTCGTCTGCATTGTCCTCGGAGCCGTACAGCGCCTTCTCCCACGCAGGCGCGTCGTCTTGGTCCTGGCGCGGCAGGAGCTCCGGCGCCAAGCGGCCATCTTCGTAGTCGTCAAGAAACGAATCCTTCGCCGGGCTCGACTGCGCGAGCATCGCTTGCTCGAGGTACTCGAACTCTTCGAGGTCGTCTGCATCCTGCTGCATCTTCCAGTCGTACGATTGCATGAGGTCCATGGATGGCTCGGACCGCACCGACGTGTCGAGGCGGCTTCTCGCGTCCGCCTTGCTTGGGGCGCTTGGACGCGGAGCAGACGCAGCTGGCGCCGAGAGCTCGTGGCCTTCGCTCGTCAAGACGTATGGTTTCCTCTTGGCCGGGATGTTGTCCTTCCACCAGCCGCGCGCTCCTTTCTTGAGGAAGGGCTTCTTGGGCACGTGGCGGCCCGCGGGCGTCGGCGCCGTCGCCGGCCACTGCTTCTCCAGCAGCGCTTCAAAGGACACTAGGAAGGAGCATGAGCATGAGCAGCTGGAGGTCGACGTCAACTGCACCGCTGTCGCCTGGCATGGCGGCGCTTTGGGCGGCCATCGCTGATGATGACCTCGGAAACTCGATTGCATCCGGCTGCGCATCACATTGTAGAGGTTTTCCGGCTTGTCTATTTGAACGCTTGGCGCGCAAACTAAGATACGCTCCAGTAGCACGCACCAACTTCAAGCCGACTTACTAGTATAGAATTGGTGCATTTGTCGTATGATATTGTGACGAGTTTGCCGCTCGCTTGATACCTTGATAGATGGCCGAGTTTTGGATCCACGAAAGGCGTTCGTCCAGCACGACGAGTACCTTGCACACGCTAGCTCGTTGTCATGCTCGATGGTGGGTTGCGAATGAAGGAGTGGGAATTGAGAATGGAGAATGCAGAATTGAGAATGGAGAGTCGAGAAGGGAGAAGGTGCACCGTATCACATCATTGTTTGGAGAAACACTCATCAAATTCATTTTCACATTGGACGCATGGCGCTCACTAGTACGTTTACGGCCGACGACATTGCGTTCTTGTGCGAAATTCCGTTTTTGCGGCCGCGCGACGAGGCGCTCTCTTCGCTCTTCCCGCCCACCGAGTTCAACGGCATGGAGGCGCTCTTGCCGCCGCTTGAGGACGACGCGATGCTTCCGAACGATGACGCCATCATCGATGTCATCGAAGACGAGACGGTCGCACGCATCGAAGACCTCGAGGGCGCGATGGAATTGCACTTTATCGAGTGCCCCGTCTGGGATGTGAGCGCGATTCTGGACCTGGTCGAGCGCCTTCCGACGCCGTTTGAGGACCGCACGCACGGCACGTGCTCGTACCGCAACGGCAAGTGCCGGCAGCCGTGCAACCGGAAACGAAGCGGCGCCTTTTACAAGATGTGCCCGGACCACCGCGTCGCGGCCGTGCGCAACCACAAGAAGGCGCTCGCCAAGCGCCTCGCCAAAGTACCGCTTGCGTGATTCGCGTATTTTGTCGTCGATTGGTTGTGCAATACTATATGTATATGGTTGTCGAACCGTTGCACTGCACGCGTGACAGACGGGTGTGCATAGAGACCATAGCCACTGCAGGTGCGTTGGAGGCCGACAGCTTCGACTTGGAGGGGTCGGGTTCATAACCCTTGCCCCAACAAATGTTTTACGCAAAAATGTCTCGATGTTCTTGTACGACGAGAAGAAAGAAACCAGTGCTCATCATTTCTCGTGCGCTCGATCATGCAGGTCCTTGTCCCAGTTGGACCCAACGGTTTCCGCTCCTCACGCAGCGCCAGTCGCGTCGGCGCGATCCTAGAACGGCACATCTACGCTAAAGGTGAGGCGTCTTCGTGTTCGATAGGATAAGCCGAGCTTGCATCGAAACATCCCTCCATGTGTGTGTCCATGCTTCCACTGAAATGCACGATGTTCAAAACACCTCTCCCATGCACCCTATTGAATTAGTCTAGCACGAGAGAGCTGTACAAGGCATAGTAGAAATGTCGCATCACAAGTATAGTCTTTTTGTATTGGGACCTGGTTGCATGGTCGCACCTTAGCTCTTGTGAGTCGACCGTTTACGCTCGCTTGAGACCAGACGTGTGAGCTGCGTCTGGAGCTCAATATCGTGGACCATTCTTGACCAAGCTTCCAGTCGCTCGGTGGTGACTGTTGCGTCCGTCGACCAGGGATGATGACCAAGGACGAGCGCCAACGCCCCGTGTGTTTTTCCGGACTTGTCGACTGGACATGACAGCGTCGCTGCCGAGAAAAGGTCATTTCATTATCAGCTTGAAGATCCTACAACTCGTCGACATGCATAAGATGTACCCGATATCGTCGTACATGAGCGTACTCCTACCAAATCGGGGGTGCTCTCATTGTGGGTCGCCCAGATATCCAAGTGTTATACGAATACAATGACAACATTGACCACTTGCAAACTATGCATCTCGTGCTTTGATATGCTGAATTGGGAGTGTATTGAGTAAAAGAAGGACCTTAAACGTCGACGCGGCCCGAAGCTTCGGCGCCATCGATGTCGGTTTTGACGACCGAGCGCCCGATCGCGTCGTCGTCGCCTGTCTGCCACACGTTGTTGCGGAAGCTAAACGATGGCTTGAGCTCGCACACGACCGACTCGACCGGAAAGATCTTGGCGTTGGTGGGCAATGGAGCGTCCGCGTTGTTCGCCACGTCGAGCGGCGACGGGCTGTCGGCGCCGCTGACGTGGAAGATCTCGTCGAGGCGCTTGTGGAACCGATCGCTACACCATACAAACCATCCCACTCATTTCGTACAAGAGTATTAATCGATACCGGTAGGCTTTGGGCGGCAGGGCTGAGATGCCGTCTGGGTCTTTGCGCAGAATGAGCGTCTTGAACCAGCGCTCGAACCGCTTCTCGAGCGTCCACGTTTGCAGAATGTCGATCAAGCCAATGTAGTAAAAGCCAGGACCGACGACGACGTCGGCGGACCGAAGACACGCGATCGACTGCTTCGCAACTGCGCGCTGTGACGTGCGCATCGTCGAGACGGCGCTGAGGACGTCGAGGGACGGCAGGGGCAGTGTATCGATCTCGTCCCGCAAAATGCTCTGGACGTTGACTTGGAAGCGGACTTCAATGACGCCGAGGAGGAGACTGTAGTCCATAATGCCTTTATCGCAGAGAAAGTCGCTGTCTTGCTTGAGTTGCTGAAGCACAGCCGCGCCGTGGCCGTGCCCGAGGCGGACCTACTCAATTTGCCTCTAAATTCTGTCGACAATAGCATGCGACCTTGGTTGTCAAGTCCATGTCCTTGAGCACGACGTTGGGCGAGTGAAAGCCCGCACGGTTGGGGCACGTATCGCGCGCACCGCTTCGAAAGGCCATGTTGCAATACCTACACGATCCATATATACCTCGGTGGGCCGCGCACAAGGTGCGACGTATACCTGCACGTGGCTTCGGCGCCATACCGCGCCTTCTCGGCGTTCCGGTCGACCCACGAGCCTTTAATGTCATACCGATGGTGCACCGCGTGCTGCTTGTCAAAGAGGTTTTCCATCACCACAAAATAGGATGTCTAGACACATATGTTGGACGATATTGTCGTGTTGGACGATATTGTCGTCTTGGATGAGAGACGTACCCGGCCGTAGAGCTCCATCGAGTAGCTCCCAAGGATGCGCGTCAAGAACGTCGCGGGGTGCTTAGCGACGTACGCCGCGTACGCGTCCGTCATGCCATCCAAGAAGGTGCTCTCGCGCTTGGTGAGACTCTTGACAATGTACGCGCCGTTGGTCGTAAAGAACATGAAGGCGCCGCTCGAGCCTTCCGAAACCTTGGGGATGCTGCAGTCCGCGAACGACGAGATGAATTGGCACTCGTCGATGCCAAAGCATTCGCGGAGTCGTCCAAACTCTTCAGGTTTGTAGGCGGTGAACTTGCACTCTTGGCACGAAAAAAGCGCGTGCTCGTGCTGCGGCGGGTGCACGGTGAAGATGGACGCCTCGCCGAGCTCGAGCGACTGACTAGAACAAGTGAATTGCATTGCGTTGGAAAGTGCAGCGGGTGGAAGGGCTCGCACCGCTTGTTGGCGACTTGGACCGCTTTCGTGATGCCGCACGTGGTGTAAAACACGAGCTCCTTCAAGAGAGCATAGTTGGTTTGCGCCCGCGTCGCGTCTTCCCTCTCCGCCACCGACTAGAGAATAATTGGTCCCGATATATACACAAAATAGGGGTTAGGGGATCGAACCTGCTTGATGTTTTTGTCGCTTGTGCTGTAGAGGATCCAGAGGAAGAAGACGACGCTGCCCCGGAACGAGAGGAGGAAGCCGAAGAGCTCCTTGAGCACGCCGTTGCTTGTCGCGAGCCAGAACGCCACGTAGAGACCCCAGAGCACCATCCAGTACAAAATGAACGCGACTGTCGTCAGAAAGCCTTCGCGGAGGAGCGTCCGGCGGTGGTCCAACGTCGCCTCAATGCCACCGCGAAACCTACCGCCGGTTCGAATCCCCCAAATAAAATCGTTGGCTACCGCTTCATCGAGATGGTGCAGACGTAAACGTTGGTGCCAATAAAGATGGTCACGGGTAGCGCGATGAAGATCCAAATCCCAGCATCGACCGCCACAAAGCTACTGCTGGCGAGGCGGCTGCACTTGACCCAGCAAAAGTCGCCGACCGAAACGCCGTAGAAGCGGTCGTCCGAGAGCATGATGGCAGCCGCAACGAGACCTGCAAGGAGACTCGGACCACGCCTTCGTGACGACAACGTACCCGATGCATGGACGATGAACTGATACTTGCGCCGGTTCTTGCGCGGCGACGTGAACGGGTCGTTGAGCTACGATAATGCTTTTATGAGATCGCGTTGAGGAGAAGAAGCGGATATGCGGTACGAGGGCGAAGAGATCAAGCGCCATGCAGAGCTCCCAGCACATGGACGCCATGATCAAGTACTCGCGCGTCGCCGAGAGCTACGCAAACATCGAATATGACGTGTCGCGACAGAGCTGTCGGTCGTACCCATCGGCACGACAGGTGGGGCTGGATACCCCCGCCTGCCATGTTCCAGAGCGGTTCCAGCAAAAACGAGACAGCGAGAAGGAGGTCGCAGATGCTAGTATGGCAATCGTGCGAGGCAGACAAGAGTGGAAGCATGTACCTTCGGTTGAGGAGGAGGATGTTGGAGTGGTTGCGGCAGGCCGGGAGGTAATGATACGAGAGCAGCACAAGGAGCGACATGATGAGCGTGCCAATCGACCCGAGAAGCACGCCCGACGGGAGCTGGAGCGGCCCGTCGTTGGTCTTGTCCCTGAACGTAATGGCGCAAATGAAGAGCACGATCGAAAAGACGGACGCGGCTGCCGTCGCCACGATCGTCGTCCGCAGAAGCTGGCCCGACCCGCTTCGCACGAGGTGGTAGAGCTCCTTGAGCGGCCCAATGCA